ACCAATTCAAAACACTAAACCTACTCACCATACAAAATATCATACTTATTACTGCCCCTACTACATACATAGAACACTTAACTCTGATATTAACCCCCCCCTCAAAAACCCCCCCTTGCCAACCTCAAAGAACACATGCCATAACACAAGGCCACGATCACTCTTTGATGTCCTGGGTTCCACCTAAACGCTAGGGCGAAATTTAAAATGCACATAAAAGGCTTTTAAAATCGGGAAAATTCTTTTAACCGGGGAAAAATAAAAGAAAACACTGTTTTTTTTTTAAATTTTTTCCCAAGTCCTCTTCTAAAAAAACACTTACTCACCTTACAGTTTAAATAAATACTGAAAATTGTATCTCATAATTTATCTCTTTAAATGTCTAACCTGGGGACCAATCAAACTCTGTTTTTTTTTAATTTACATTACCAAACAGAATACTCCATTTTTTTTGAATGTTTCATCAACACAGTAAAGGGACCATATAACCTGCCCTTTGTAATACTAAAAATTTTTGCTAAATTGTTATCGGGTTTACAATTTTTGTTTTTCCCAAACCAAATTATATCATTGCTTATTTAATTTTAAGTTAAATTTTTAAAAGCCTCCCCCAAATTGCTATGGCATGAAAGGGGTTTTGGGGCATGTTGCACTTTAAAAAACTGTATTCCTTTTTTCTTCTCTGTATCATTTTTAAAAAATTAAAAAATAAAAAAATAAAAAAAAAACCCCTGGGCCCCCTGGAAACTGTTTAAAGTTCGAAATTTGAGGTTCCATTGTATCTTATTTTTGGGCGGCTGAGTTTTTTTTTTGGCGGGGAACTATCAGTGTAAAAAAGGGCCCTTTTATTATTAGGATGTGTATCCCAAATTTAAAAATTTAGGTTAATAAGGATCAATGTTTGCTTTCATATGACTAATCAGGTTTTTGGTATGTTAACAATAGGAATGATCTTTAAATTTATTTTTAAGGGTTGATATAATAAATTTATGAAAAAGTAGTAAACAGTCTTGCAAAAATGGTTAGGTTTCAGTATTGCACGGGAGGTAAATGAAAGCTCAAAAAAAGGGCAGGGCAAAGTTTAGGTATGAAAAGGGAATATTCAAAATAGGGAAAATTAAAACCTTTTCCCAAACCGATTTTAACCCGAGTTGGGTTTCCCGAAAAAACCGGGCCCGTAAGCAAATGGTCGAAAGTCAAACCCTTTACTACCAAAACCCAACAAAACATTTTTTTTAAATGATTTTTAATTTTTTTTGTTTTTTTTTTGGTTTTCCCCTTTTTTTTACTTTCTTTTATTTGTTGTACTGTTTTTAACTGTAAGGTTTGGGGAAAAACCCACTGTGTAAAACCCACAAAACCAGTGGCCCCCCCGTTTAAAACGATCACCCCCCCAATGCCCCAAATTATGTAAGTTTTTTTATGTAAGTGCTTTTTTTCATGTATGTTTGGGGGTCTGAAATGGACTAATCTACTTCACAATATTCCTTAGGGGAAACCCAAAATTCAGTCATTACGGGGGAAACCTAAAACATACTTCGGGAGTAAAAAAAAATTTTGTTAACCGGGGGGGGTTCCCTGTAGTTGTTTTTTTCCCAAAATTTTTGGGGGCAAAAAAAAAACACGGCCCAAAGTCGAGGGGTGGTAAGTCGAGCAGGCCCGGAAAAGTGGGAGGGGAGGTGAAAAACCAGGGGTACCCAAAGGTTTCCCAACTTATTTCTTTCCAGAAGGCTGTTCGGGGTGCCAATACCAAATGAATTTTGGGGTTCCCTTAAAGGGGAATAATTTTAAATTAGATTATTTCCATTTCGGGCCCCCCAAAATACATTTAAAACACACTTACAAAATTTCACTTACATAATTGTTTGGGTTGGGACCCATTTAAAAAATCAGGGTACCACGTACAGGATTTAACAAAAAACTAAAAACAAAAAATATATAATGGATAGATAGTAAAATGGTTTTTTAACAAATTTAAAAAGGTAAGATTTGATATTTAAAAATAAAAATGAAGTAAGTGTAATACTTTTGGGAAAAAAGGGGGGGTTTCACTTAATTTGGGTTGGAAGGGAGGTTGTGAGGAAAAAAGTAATTAAATTTTCCTTATATAACCCTTAAAAATTGCACAATAAGATTTTTGACTAAATTTGGGACAAATTTAAACAAGCAAGCAAAAACACAAAAAAAATTTGGAACATGAGGTTTGTTGGTAATAGCAAATTTAATTTCCAACTACCCCATACCCTTTCACTACAATGTAGATAATAATGTTAAGGAGGAATTGGTTAATCACCTCAGTAAGGGTTTTGCAACCTCTAAGGAAGTTGAAATTCCCTATTTTCATTTGTGAGAGTATAAAAAATTTGGGCCCACATCTGTTTTTTTCTCACTAAAATTTTTCCCCTCTCCCAAATGAAAACAAAAGGTGGGTTTGGGACTGTTATCCCCAATTTTAGTTTTCCCCAATTTGAAAAAAAAAGGTTTTTGAAGTTTTCTGTCAGACATTTTTTTGATGTAATCTTCTTTTTTTTTCTCTAATTTTATGATTTTTTTTAAAACCTTTAAACTAGAGGGTCCTATAAACTGAAGGAGCGGGTTTGGGTTTAAATTAAAAAAAATTTGGAGGTAGATGGGCTTTAATTTTTAAAAGTACATATAGGCAATGAGGTTGAAGAGGTAGGGGGTAGATTTTAAAAATTTAGTGTTAGAGTGTTCAGCAGAAGTTTGTAGTTTCAGAAAGGAAGAAGAGCCCGTTTGTGGGGAAAATAAGGAAAGAGAGTTTTTAAGAGAGGAAAAAATTATAAATTGAGAGGTTTTTTTCAAATTTGAAGTGATAAGGAGAGAGGGGGTATAGGGGAGAAAAAAAAGGTTAAGAAAGGGGGGGGAAAGGGAAAGTAAAAGGAGAACTAATGAGGAGTGGGTGAAATGCTGTCAAAAAAATTTTGCTTTATAAGAATAAGTTTTGGAGTGAGATGTGAGTTGAGAAAAACCCAGGGAATGAATTTAAATTTTATAAAATAGGAAAAGGGGAGTTTGAGGTATCAGGGGGAAAAATGGAGGAAATATTTTTAGGAAAAAGTTAAATTTGATTGGGGGATAGGGGAAGTTGTTTATTTTTTTGCATTGGGCAGGGAGGTATCAGATTTGAAAGGGGTGGAAAGAAACGAGTTGTGCGTGGAGGGAGTGCAAAGAAGCATTTGGGTTTGAATGAAAAAGGGGGTAAAGCAGCTGGGATTTTTGGAATAATTAAAAAGAAATGTTAAAAAACAGGTTGGGGATATAGTTTTGGAATGCTTGGGGGCTTTTATTTAAATGTTGGAAGAGGGGAAGGTACCTAGGGGTTGGGAGATGGTAAAGTTCCTTTGTATAAAGGCAAAGGGGACAAAAAAAGTTGGGGTGTTTTAAAAATTTTAGGGGGGAAAAAAGCCTTTTTTGAGTATACCTTTTTGAAGGGGTATGGTTTTAAAATTATTACCGAAAAAATTTTAAGGGGTAAGACGGAGAGCAATTTGGGAAAGAACAAGGAGGGTTTAGGGAAAGGGGTTGGGGGGGTGTAACCAAGTGTTTGGGAGCAAAAAATACAGGTGAATAAAATTTAATTTTAAGGCAAAAAGGTTTTTTCTGATTTAAGTATTTGGAAAAGGCGTATCATAGAGGGCAAAAGTGGCAGGGTGTTGCAAGTAATGGAATAAATGGTAGGTTTTCTGAATTTAGTGGGAAAAGGGTTTTTAAAAAGGATAAATAATGCTCAGGTTAAAATATGTAGGAGAGAGGGAAAATTATTTCCCCCGTAAAAGTAGGTTTAGGGCACGGGATGTGTGATGTCACCATGGTTGTTCAATATATTTATAGAGGGGGTTGTAAGTGAAGCAAATGCTCGAGTGTTGGCAAGAGGTGTGGGATTAATAGATAAAGAATCTAACAAAGTGGGAGCTGTCACAGTTGCTTTTTACTGATGACACTGTGCTTTTGGGAGATTCTGAAGAGAAGTTGCAAAGGTTGGTGAACAAATTTGGGAGGGTTTGTAAAAGAAGGAAATTAAAAGTGAACATAGGAAAAAGCAAGGTGATGAGGTTAAAAGATTTAAGTTATGAAAAATTGGATATCAGACTGGAGGGAGGGAGTATGGAGGAAGTGAATGTATTCAGATATTTGGGAGTGGTCTCTTCAGCAGATGGGTCTATGAAAGATGAGGTGAATCATAGAATTGATGAGAGGGAAAAAGATGAGTGGTGCATTGAGGAGTCTGTGGAGACAAAGAACATTATCCATGGAAACAAAAAGTGGAATGTATGAGAGTATAATTATATCATTGCTTTTATATGGGTGTGAAGCATGGGTGGTGGATGTTGCAACAGGAAAAGACTGAAGGCAGCAGAGATGTCATGTCTGAGGGCAACGTGCATTGTGAACATAATGCAGAGAATCTGTAGTTTAGAAATTAGGAGGAGGTGTGGGGTTACTAAAAGTATTATCCAGAGGCCTGAGGAGGGGTTGTTGAGAGGGTTTGGACATTTAGAGAGGATGGAACAAAATAGAATGACTTTGATAGCATATAAATCTGCGGTGGAAGGAAGGTATGGTAAGGGTTGGCCTAGGAAAGGTTGGAGGGAGTGTGTAAAGGAGGTTTTGAATACAAGGAGCTTGGACTTCCAGCAAGTGTATATGAGCGTGTTAAATAGAAACGAGTGGAGACAAATGGTTTTTTTGATTTGATGTGGTACTGGAGTGTGAACAAGGTAATATTTGTGAAGGGATTCAGAGAAACTGGCAGGCCGGACTTAAGTCCTGGAGGTGGGAAGCACAGTGCTTGTGCTCTGAAGGATGAGTGTTGATATGTTGCAGTTTTTTAACTGCAGTGCAGGTGCACCTGTGGGAAGACAGTGATGGAGTGAATGATGACTGAAGTGTTTCTTCTTTTTTCAGGTCATCCTGCCTCAGTGGGAAATAGCTAATGTGTTAAAAAATAAATAAATAAATGTTGTGGGATTTTAAAAAAGATGCGCTTGTCATGTTGTTTCACTTTGCAGGTGTTGTTGACCGATGACTATTTCAGTGACATCAATCCTCGCTCCATGAGAAGGTTGATGAATGTTGTATACATCACTGGAAGGTGAGTAGTGATGAGCACGTATGTAAAGTTGACGTTACCAGCAATATCTACTACCTTAGAGATTTACAGTGTTATTGATAGTAATATTTGATGACTTAAACTCAGTTCACAGCTACAAGAATAGGTATGATAAGATCAAAGAGGCCAGGAATGCTGCTAGTTGGAAGGTGCAGTAACTTGTATGAAGCTTTACTTAACCTAATTACCTGAAGTAACCTGACTTAATCTGACTTAACCTCACTTAATCTAGCATTGTCATTGGTTATCCTGACAGGTTGTTAAAAGCGTTCAACATTGACTTCAACTGGTACCACTTAGCGTCGTGGATCAACATTACTGAGCAGTGGCCATACAGAGCCTCGTGGCTCATCCTCTATTATGAGGCCAACGAGGATGCCTTCGATGACAAGTCTTCCCTCAAGGACCTCTACGAAAAGTATGACCTCATAACTTTTCTTCTTATCTTCCTTGATTCTTCATCATATCTACTATCTTTTTCATCATCTGCCTCAGTTATCTTTTTGTTCAGCATTTTTATTTCTTTCAGATTTATTGCAAAGATAGAGTTTCTTCAAATTTACTCTGACTAAATTTTCTTCAAATTACGTCTGACTGTAGATTTGCTTCAGATTTATTCTGATTGTAGATTTGTTTTAACTTCTTGCCACATTTCTGGTCAGGATCAAGAACCAAGTACCTGTGTCCAAGGACATGGAACCGCTGCTGGAGATGGACAAGGAGGAAAAGAAATTTGAGATCTTCCTGTCCATGCACAAGAGTTCTCTGCATGTCTCTGACCTGAAGGTCTTCCTTCCCTTCACCATCAACCTCGACCCTTTCATTAGAAAAGTAAGTCCTTCAAACTTACAAAGTTTCAGTATAAAAAACAAGTCTGCCAGTTTGGTTGAAAATGTTGAAAACTTTTATTATCTTTTATCTGCCCATCACATTTATGATTAACCTTTCAACTGTCATTCTCACTCATCATTCAGAGTACAGGCACTGTACTTCCCACCTCCAGTACTGTAACATCCTCACTCATCATTCAGAGTACAGGCACTGTACTTCCCACCTCCAGTACTGTAACATCCTCACTCATCATTCAGAGTACAGGCACTGTACTTCCCACCCCATACTGTAAAATCCTCACTCATCATTCAGAGTACGGCACTGTACTTCCCACCTCCAATACTGAAAACACCCCTATCATCATTCAGAGTCGGGCACGTCTTCCCCCCTCCAATACTGTAACATCCTCATCTCATTCAGAGTACAGGCACTGTTCTTCCCCCCTCCAAAAAGAACATCCTCACTCTCATTCAGAGTACGGCACTGTTTTCCCACCCCCAAATACGTAACTCCTCACTCATCTTTCAAAAGGACGGGGCACTGTCTTCCCACCCCCAAATACTGAAACATCCTCACTCATCTTTCGGGAGTCAGGCACTGTTTCCCACCTCCGTACGTAACATCCTCACTCCTTTCAGAGTACGGCATTACTTCCCACCTCCAGTACTGTAAATCCTCACTATCATTCAGAGTCGGCACTACTTCCCACCCAACTGAAAAACCTACTCATCTTAGATACAGGCACTTATTTCCCCACCCCCCAAATACTGAAAAACACCTCATCACCCTTCAGTTTTACAGGCACTGTATTCCCACCCCCAGTACGAACATCCTCACTCATCATTCAGAGTACAGGCATGTACCCCCACCTCCAGTCTGTAACACCCTCACTCATCATTCAGAGTACAGGCACGTACTCCACCCCAGTTTGTAACACCCCTCACCACCCCTTCGAGTACAGGAACTGTATTTTCCCCTCCAGAAAGTAACTCTCATCACCCCAAGACAGGCACTGTATCCCCTCCATACGTAACCCCCCTAAATCTCAAAGTACGGGGCATGTATTTCCACCCCCAATACTGAACACCTCACTCATCCTTCAGATACGGGATGTACTCCCACTCCATACTGTAAAATCACTTAATTTTCAGAGTAAGGACTGTACTTCCCACCCCCAAATACTGTAAACTTTCACTATCATTCAAGTAAGGCACTGTACTTCCCACCCCCATACTGTAACCCTCACTATCATTCAGAGTAAGGCACTGTACTTTCCCCCCCCCCCCCCCCCCTTTCCCCCCCCCCCCCAAATACTGAAACCCTCCTCATCATCATTTAATAAGGCACTGTATTTCCCCCCCCCAAGACGTAAATCCTCGTTCATCATTCAGTACAGGCACTGTATTTCCCACCCCCCAATACTGTAACACCCCAAATCACATTCAGGTACAGGCAATGTACTTCCCCCCTCCGTAGAACACCCTCACTCATATTCGGGGAGTACAGGCACGTACTTCCCATCCCCGTCGAAATTTTCTCACTATCATTCAGAGTACAGACACTGTACTTCCCACCTCCAGTACTGTAACATTCTCACTCTATTCGGGGTACGGGCACTGTATTTCCCCACCTCCATACTGAAACTGTCACTCCATCAGAGTCAGGCACTGATTCCCACCTCCATACGAAATGCTCTCACTATCTTCAGAGTAAGGCCTGTATTTCCCCCACCCCGTACTGTAGCATTCTCACTCATCATTAGAGTACAGGATGTACTTCCCAGCTCCGTACTGGAACATTCTCACTATCTTCAGAGTACGGCACGTATTTCCCCCAGCTCCAGTACTGTAACATTCTCACTCATCTTCAGAGTACAGGCACTGTACTTCCCAGCTCCATACTGTAACATCCTCACATATTCAGGTACAGGCACTGTATTTCCCCCACCTCCGACTGTAACCCCTTACAGACTCTACTTAAAACTTGCTTGCATTTTTAGCCGGATTTTTTCGTGTACAAAATGGGGGAAGCTAAGTAACAGTATACTTTTTTAAGTAAGCATTAACTATGTTTGTTTGTCAGGTGATCAAGGAGGACCGCCACGTTTGAAGACAGTGACCACAACTGCAGTTCGCAGGGGTGGGGGGGAGCCCTGGCACAACCCCCCACCCATGACATTCACAAACAAGACCTCCCCATGCCAGAAGACAGGTATCAATGGCACTCAGCCACCAAAATTTACTATTTTATCAGAATTGATTTCACTTCAAACAACACTGTAAAAAGTGTTCGGTGGCTTTTTTTTAAATTAGGGTATATTGGTTTACAATTTTTTTAAACTCTTGACTGTGGTGGAATTTGGGGTTTTTCTGATGGTTTTTGTGTTAGGTTTTCGTTTATTTAAAAGGGGTCATTATAACCCCAGTGTATTGCTGGGAAACCCTAGTGTTATACACTGTATACATTTCAGAGTGTATCTTTTTTAATATGCCCCCTTTTGTAATTTAAATTGTGTATACAGCTTCAATTTTATATACATTGGATAACACCTCACAGTGTATTACATGAGATACACACCCCCTTTTTTGTATATGCACTTTGATATACAACTTCAGTGTATAACACTGTGAATACAAATTTTTTGTTACACACGTGAATACACCTCTCATTTTATATACACTGTATTACAATTTCCCGTGTATATAAACTGGTATAACACCTCAATGTATGCACCTGGTATACAAACCCCCAGTGTATATCACTGTGATAACAACTTTCATGTATATAAACTGTGATATACACCTCAATTTTATGACATGAGATATACAACCCTCAGTGATTACCTGTGATATACAACTTTTATTGTATACACCTGTGAAACACCTCTCAGTGTATATACACTGTGTTACACCTCTGTGTATTACACGTATATACACCCCCTCAGTTTATACACGTTTATACACCTCTCTTTTTTACACACTGTGATATACAACCTAATGTATTTCACCCTGTGATTTACAACTCTCGGTATATACACTGTGTATACACCCTCAGTGTATACACATGTGATAACACCTTCAGTTAACACACTGTGTATACACCCCCTCTGTGTTATACACGTGATATACAAATCTCGTGTATATACACTGTGATATCAACTCTCTGTGTAATTTCACTGGGATATAAAACTTCAGTGTTTTTACACGTGAATACACCCTCCGTGTATATACACCTGTAATACACCTCTCTGTTTATACACTGTGATATACACCTCTCAGGTTTTACTCTGTGATATACACCCCTCAGTGTTACACACGTGATATACACCCCCTTTAGTGTTACACACTGTGATATCCCCTTGTGATATACACTGTGTATACAACCTCTGTGTAAATTTCACTTGTATACCCTCTCAGGTATAACACGTGTATACAACTCTCAAATTTTTACACTGTTTATTTCACACTTCTCACTCTCACTTAATACAAATCAAGAGTGATAATGGTATTGTGTATGAAATACACATATCAAAATTGACTTGAATTAGTTAAATAAGAATTGTACCTACTAGGCCAGTTGGCCGAGCGGTCAACACGCTGGCCGGCCACTGAGTTTTAGCAATCTCTGACCATGTGTTTGAGTACCATCTCGGCTCTAGTTTCCTTCTACAGTTTCACTACAATTCATCCAACAATTCTTTTTCACATTTTAGGATTTTTTTAACTTTATTTAGATGATTTGTCTCATTCTCTAATTTTATTGAGAAGTGTTGAATTAATTTTAAGAATTGTTGAATTTATTACTAAATAATTGTTGAATTTATTTATAAAATTATTTAATTTATTTTTAGAATTGCTGAATTTTTTTTAGAATTGTTGAATTTATTTCTGAAGAGTTGAATTTATATTGAATATTGTATTAAAAATCTGTCAACTTTGTGCCCACAGCCGTTGCGAGGCAACCAGAAGATTTCGACGGCGAGCATGCCGCCCATGAACACACTTTTATGGGGTTATGGTCCCCCATTCATGCCGTCAATACAGTCAGCACCGTCAGTTGACTACAGTAGTATTCCCGTCACCATCAATCCAGTCGTCAATACTGGACAAGCCAGCTTACCAGTGAGTACATCAACCTGACTATACAGAGATTTGTATTAACCTGCTAGTTGTCTCCCATCAAGGCATGGTGACCTAACAATGAGAAAACACATTTACCAACACTCAGTCAGTGGCTGCCTTACTGGAAGTGTGATGGTGATATAGTAAAGAGGATCCTCAGAACTGTAGCATCCTCACCCATCCTTCAGAGTGCAGGCACTGTACTTCCTACCTCAAGTACTGTAACATCCTCACTCATCATTCAGAGTACAGGCACTGTACTTCATATCTCCAGTACTGTAACATACTCACTCATCATTTAGAGTACAGGCACTGTACTTCATATCTCCAGTACTGTAACATACTCACCTATCCTTCAGAGTATAGGCATTGTTCTTCCCATCTCCATTTTCACCCATCCTTTGGAGTACAGGCACTGTACTTTGCACCTCCAGTACTGTAACATCCTCACTCATCCTTCAGAGTACAGGCACTGTACTTCCTGCCTCCAGTACTGTAACTTCCTCACTCATCCTTCAGAGTACAGGCACTGTACTTCCTGCCTCCAGTACTGTAATTTCCTCACTCATCCTTCAGAGTACAGGCATTGTACTTCCTGCCTCCAGTACTGTAACTTCCTCACTCATCCTTCAGAGTACAGGCACTGTACTTCCTGCCTCCAGTACTGTAACATCCTCACCCATCCTTCAGAGTACAGCCACTGTACTTTGCACCTCCAGTACTGTAACATCCTCACTCATCCTTCAGAGTACAGGCACTGTACTTCCTGCCTCCAGTACTGTAACATCCTCACCCATCCTTCAGAGTACAGGCACTGTACAGTGGACCCCCGCATAACGATTACCTCCGAATGCGACCAATTATGTAAGTGTATTTATGTAAGTGCGTTTGTACGTGTATGTTTGGGGGTCTGAAATGGACTAATCTACTTCACAATATTTCTTATGGGAACAAATTCGGTCAGTACTGGCACCTGAACATACTTCTGGAGTGAAAAAATATCGTTAACCGGGGGTCCACTGTACTTTCCACCTCCAGTACTGTAACATCCTTACCCATCCTTCAGAGTGCAGGCATTGTGCTTCCCACCTCTAGGACTCAAGTCCAGCTAACCGGTTTCCCTGAATCCCTTCATAAATGTTACTTTGCTCACACTCCAACAGGATGTCAAGTCATATAAACCATTTGTCTCCACCTCTAACATGTTCGTCTTCACTTGCTGGAAGTCCAAGCCTCTCATACACAAAACCTCCTTTACTGCCTCCCTCCAACCTTTCCTAAGATGACTCTTACCTTGCCTTCCCTCCACTACAGAATTTTACATTACATCCTGTTCTGCTCCTTTCTCTTGAAATGTCCAAACTACCTCAGTAACCTTTCCTCAGCCCTCTGAGGAGATTTTGCTGAGGTGCTTAATCCTTTGACTGTTTCAGTCGTATATATACGTACGTCTTACAACCCACCATGTTTGACGTATATATACTCAACAATTCTAGCGGCTTCAAATCAAGCAGGAGAAAGCTGGTAGGCCCACATGTGAGGGAATGGGTCTGTGTGGTCAGTGTGCACCATATAAAAATTCCTGCAGCTCGCAGTGCATAATGAGAAAAAAAAATCCAACCGTGTTTTTGGATTAAAATGTCGAATTTGCTGTGTATTTTTGTATAGTATTTATGGTTGTATTCTCGTTTTCTTGGTCTCATTTGATAGAATGGAAAACATATTATAGAAATAGAGGTGATTTTGATTGATTTTACTATGAAAAGAACCTGGAAATGGGGCTCAAAGTAGGGGAAATGTTTGATTTTTGCCAATGTTCAAAAGTAAACAAATGATGTCGTTGTCCAACAAATGTCCAAGTAGCCATTCTAATATGCAGTCATGAATGGGTTGACATTATTTATACAATTATTACAATATTGCAGTAGTCTGCATAACAGAAAATCTTCTGTTTTTTGTTTGAATAAAAATTCAAAATAGAAAGCAAGATTAATATCAGAGGGGCCTGGAGATGTGACTGATGAATAAAGAAAATGTTATTTTAGAGCCAGGAATGTCTGCATTGTTCATTCTGGGCCCTATTTTGAAATTGGCATATTTTTTAATTTGCGTGAAATTGGCCAAATTGCAAATTTCTGACCACGTTATTGGGTAGTTGAAATCGATAAATGGGCAGTTTCTTGTACTCAATCGATAGAACATATGGAGTTCTAAAGAAATAGATATGAGTTTGGTCGACTGGAACGATGGAATTAGCTGAAAATAGGGCTCAAAGTGGGCAAAATCGCCAATTCGTAAATATTGCTGAGGTCACTAACTTCACAAGAGCATAATTCCATAAGTTTTCCATCAAATTTCGTTCTTTTGGTGTCATTACTATTAGGAAAAGATTCTCTATCATTTCAGAATTTTTTTTTTTTGTTTCAAAAATTTTTCGACTCCAGGAGACACCTCAGGATTTGGCGTTGCGACAGTCAAAGGGTTAAACTTAGGTTCGATATTTGCTATTTCTCTGACCAGTGCCTCCCTTCATATTTCAGATATACTGGCGCCTATCAGCAGCTTTATGATTCTTCACCTTAGCCTGTATAGGGAGTGTGTCTTTCTAGTTTGCATCTTCTCTTTCTTTTTCTTAATGGAATGTGAATGATCCTTGAGCAGACTTCAGGTGCCACAGAGTTAATTTTTTCTAGGCAAAGGTTCAGATCTGTGTTGTTTAGGGTATCTTCCCAGCTTGTTTCATTTAGGATACGGTTGACTTGTTCCCAGTGTATATTTTTATTATTGAAGGTAAATTTTATGAAGGCACCCTCATAACTAATCACATTTTGCTGGTCAGAAGCCCTGCACATACATGTCTGTACCTCTATTATGCTAATAACACCTTCTCTACAAATTATTAAATGTAAAAAGAAGAAAAACTTCATTTTCTTCTCTTCCTGGTCACACGGCTTTAGTGGAAGACGGCCGCGGCCTTCAATAAAAGTATGCATCTATTTTTTTTTTCCATAAATCAGCCATATCCCACCGAGGCAGGGTGACCTAAAAAGAAAAATGAAATTTTTTCTTTTTAAATTTAGTAAGGTATACACGAGAACATGTTACTAGCTCCTTTCTCCCGGGAGTTTAGTGGCCTCTTACGACATGCATGGCTTACACATAAAGAATTCTTCTCCACAGTACAGTTTTTTGTGATTATGACTGGAAAAATTCATTAATAATTGAAGAGCACTTATCAAGTGCATCATAATACCTGCTCTTCAATTTTCAATACATAGATGTTTTCAAATTCATTTTAAAAAATCACACTATACAATAGCTTTGAGTGCTGTATTAAAAATGGAATTTTGAATTTTGTCTTGTGTCAGGCGGAGGCTGCAGACAAGAAGCTCTCGACACTGACCATCGAAGGATTGTTTGAGGTGTTCAGTAAGGTCGAGGGCCTCTCTACTACACTACCCAGCTATAAAGACCGCTTCCTGGAGAACAACATCAATGGCAAGGTGTTATTGCACTGCGACCTCGATGATCTGAAGAAGGTGAGGTGTACATGTACACTAGTAGTGTGCAAGGTGTTCCAGAAATCTAACATCACTCTTAACATTGCTACTAACCTCACCACCAGTAAGTTTGTTCAGGTACAGGCACACACAAATATTTTTTTTTTTTATTAACACATCAGCCTTCTCCCACCAAGGCAGGGTGGCCCGTAAAGGAAAAACTTTCATCATCATTCACTCCATCACTATCTTGCCAGAGGCATGCTTACACTACTATTATAAAACTGCAACATTAACACCCCGCCTTTAGAGTGCAGACACTGTACTTCCCATCTCCAGGACTCAAGTCCGGCCTACTGGTTTCCTTGAATCCCTTCATAAATGTTACCTTGCTCACACTCCAACAGCATGTCAAGTCTTAAAAGCCATTTGCCTCCATTCACTCCTATCTAACATGCTCACGCATGCTTGCCAGAAGTCAAAGCCCCTAGCACACAAAACCTCCTTTACTCCTTCCCTCCAGCCTTTCCTAGGCCAACCCCTACCCCACCTTCCTTCCACTACAGATTTATACACTCTCAAAGTCATTCTATTTTGTTCCACCTGCTCTACATGTCTGAACCACCTCAACATAGCAGCATATGTGTAGCTTACCCATCAGGATAACCCAAGAAAGTCTAAGTGCTTTATTTCCATTGTGATCCTTGTGATATATTATTATATAATAATAATACAGCCTCTCCTCACTTAGCGACATACTTATTTATTGATGACTTGGACTTACAACAATATGCTCTCTGCCAGTATGCTGCGTACCTAAATAATGTATATTAGAGCTGATTTCGTCTATTCTGTTTATTACAATATGCAGTACACTACTGTATAAATATTTAAAAATATACTAGAAATGTTATAAATGGTGCAAAGGTGACATTAAAATAATGCCAAAGATGGTTGACATAAAGCCACTACCATTATAGTTTGCTCCTCGCTTAGCGAAAGATTCATATACCAATGTGGTCTTAGGAACGGAACTTCATTGTTAAGGCAGGAGAGGCTGTAATTAATAATAATACAGTAATAATATTTTATTTCAGCATGATACAATGTTTGTACAATGGTGAATGACCTTTAGGTGTACACACAGATAAACAGTTAAAACAGCTAAGTTAACTTACCTGTGTGAAAATCAGTTAGAATAGTAGGAGATATGCTAGTACAGTGGTACCTCTACTTCCGTACACCTCCCAACTTGAACAATTATGAAAGTGTATTATTGTTAGTGCTTTTGTAAGTGTATTTTTGGGGGTCTGAAATGGATAATCTAATTTACATTATTCCTTATGGGAACAAATTTGTTCGGTAACGGCACTTGAACAGCCTTCTGGAACGAATTACGTACAAAACCTGGGGTACCACTGTACCATTAGTAACAAGAATAATAATGATATATAACATTGATACAGGTACTGAACATGAACTTTGGAGACTGGGAGTTGTTCCGTGTACTTGTACTGGGACTACGTGAACGAGAGCTGGATGATGACTATGCCATCAAGAACGTGAGGTTTGCCTCCACCACCGATGGTCACCACCAGCTTGGCGGTGGCGCTGGTGGTGGCGAGGATGTGCCGGACGATACCGCCGAGGGCAGTAGTCTGACCAGCACGGTGACGGGTCGTTCATACGCCGGGGTAATATCACGAGGATCACTCTAGGCTCTTGATTCAAGGAACTGGAGCTGCCCTCCACTTCCTCGTGCCCATGCGGGTTTACCACTCCCTCATTCCCATCCATTTTAGGCATTAAAAATGTGGATTTTTTGCAGTATTTTTAAAAAAAAAATTGAGGTTTTTAAGCAATTTTTAAAAATCTCATAAAAATATTAATTTTAGTTACTAAATTTTTTTATCTTTCTATAATATTTTTAAAAAACTAAAAATCCCATAAAAAGTTATTCTAGGCATTAAAAATTTATATTTTTGCAGTATTATAAAAAGTTAAAAATACTATGAAAGTTATTATTTTAAGGCATTAAAGTTTTTTGCAGTATATTTAAATTTTTGAACTTTAAATTTTTTTTTAAAAATCCAATAAAAAATTTTGATTTTTCTCTAACATTTTGTAATGTTTAAGCCTTTCACTGTCCAGATGCCCAGAATGAAACTTGCTTTCAGTATACAAAAATTTTCCACAAAAATTCTGAAGTGGTAGAGAGAGCTTTTTTTAATGGTAATGACGCTAAAAGTACAAAATTTGATGGAAAACTCATGAAATTATGCAGGCTCAAAGTTAATGATCTTAGCGCACTTTACATACTGGCAATTTTGCCCACTTTGCGTCCTGTTTTATGCCAGTTCCATTGTTCCAGTCTACGAAATTCTTAGCTATTTTGCTAGTATTCCTTCCATTCTATGGAATGCGCACAAGAAACTGCCATTTCAACTATTGCAACTATCATATAAAGTGATCAGAATTCGGTAATTTGGCCAATTTCACAAAATTAAAAAAAATATAATTTTAAAAATAAAGTCCATAATAAACAATGCAGACATTGCTGGCTTAACTAAAACAATATTTCTTCTGTTCGTTAGTCGTGTCTCCAGACCTCTCCTATATTACACTTGCTTTTCATTTTGAATTCTCATTCACACAAAAACCAGATTACTCTAGTTTTTGAATAATAAAATATAACCAGGAAAGATTGGTCATGATTGACAGGATCTCAATAATTGAATCAGACCTATTAAAAATTCAAAAAACAGACTGGGGGTTGTAGGAGAAACTTACCCATCCTCTGGAATATTGGCAAAAATTTAACATTTCTGCTACTCTGAACTCAATTTCAAGCTGCTTCCTTTACTGAAACCAATCAAATTCATCTCTATCTCAATAAAATATCTTCCATTTTATCAAATAATACGAAGAAACAGCCAGTGACAATGAAATCTTAGAAACCATCCAAGAAAACACTGCAGAGTTGCTATTTTAAACCATACTTAGGGTCACAGTTTTGTTTTTCCCATTATACATTGTGTAGGGTGACAATATTTTCTTTATATGGTGCATACTCACTGCACAGACCCATTCTCTCATATCCAGGTCAAAATTTACTGCTTACAGCTCATTTGAGTGAGCTGAGTTCATGACATAGAAGTACGTGAGGGAGCCTGTGCTCAGCGATGTAGTTCTGTGTGACAGACAGTGAAAGGGTTAAAAATATTGTTGAAGATTTTGAGCTTCTTAAAATTTCCATGAAAATATTGCTTTTTGAAGTACTTTATCATTGTATTTTGGATTTTTAGAGTAATTTTTGTAGTTCAATAAACATAGATTTATTTTTATACTGCAAGTGGTCCAGAGAGTATGTGGAGTGTCGTGGTGTGTCATATGACACTGACATGTTTGTATAGCATAGAGATGTAGTGTGCCGCTGTCCCTTATATGATATAACCTGGAGTTGTTTGTGTCACATAGTGATGTTTGTCTCTCTGTAGCATGGTGTTTGTGTCAGTAGCATGGTGTCGTTTGTCACTGTAGTATGGTGTTGGTTGTGTCACTAGCATGGTGTCGTTTGTCACTGTAGTATGGTGTTGGTTGTGTCACTAGCATGGTGTCGTTTGTCACTGTAGTATGGTGTTGGTTGTGTCACTAGCATGGTGTCCTTAATCACTAGCATGGGGTCAGTATCTTACAACATTGATAATCATCTTTTTTGTGTGTCTAATACAACATACACTCTAGTTGTATTATATTCTTATAAACTGTGTTTTACATAGGCTACAATAGGCATCACATACCTGCATGTACATCACCTTGACACACATAATGAGATTGATTATCGTGAGATCACTCATCGTGAAATTGCTCAGCGTGAGATTGGTCATCGTGAATTGTTGTTAGAAACTTTAAGCCATGAAGAGTGTAAGAATATATTATAGTAAGATTACCCTTGGTCTTGCTGCACCTCTTGCGCCTCCCAGGCACTGGTAAAGTATGAAGGACGTAAGAGTAGGCACCTTCCAGCACCTGCTTAATGGCACTGGTGAGTTCGAGGATAGAGGACACACCCATGACACAAAGCTTATGCTTAATAACCTTCTGAACGTTCTCTCTCTTGGTTCAAGTGTGGTGGCTTACCAGACTAGTTATTTGAAGAGTGATATATCAGTCATGTAGCCAATCTTATGGCTGCCACTCTGACACAGTCTTACGTCTCAAGTATTTTTTTTTTTTTTTGTGAGAATTTATGCTTATTCATTATTTGGGGGGGGTGAAGGAGATGAATAATTGTGTAATTTATTGTGGTATAAAGATGGGAAAACTTTAAGTTTACAACACTTTATTGACTAACTAGTATGAGGCAGCAGATGGTCGGCGACGGTGATTGTTGCGGATGGTCAATGATGGTGATTGTAGTAGATGGTTGGTGACTGATTGTAGTGGCTGCTCAGTGATGGTGATTATAGTGGATGATTGGTGACAGTGATTGTAGCGGATGGTTGGCAACAGTGATTGTAGCAGATGGTCGGTGACAGTGATTGTAGCAGATGGTTGGTGAAGGTGATTGTAGTGGATGGTCAGTGACAGTGATTGCAGCAGATGGAGATGAGGCTGTTTTGCCGTGATTGTAACAATAATGAATAATTTTGTAAAGAATGGATTCTGTCTGTTGTTCATGCATCAGTTGACAGTGACGATTTTGTTTCCTTGGTTAAGCAAAGACTTGTGTGAGGCCGGGTGTACGACCAGCCACCAGGACCCGGCTCATCCATGAACATATCCTTGAAGTATCAATGTATCCTTGATTTACCTTTCAGATATCCTTGAGGTATCTACGTATCCTTGAGGTATCCATGTATCCTTGAGGTATCCTTTAGATATCCTTGAGGTATCCTTGAGGTATCCTTCAGATATCCTTGAGGTATCCTTGAGGTATCCATGTATCCTTGAGGCATCCTTCAGATATCCTTGAGGTATCCTTCAGATATCCTTGAGGTATCCTTCAGATATCCTTGAAGTATCCATGAACTCATTAGCCCAACATTGTCCTTGTTTCATGTTATTAACTCTATCTCTCTCTTTCTCTTTCTCTTTCCTTGATCAACAATTATCAAAATAATTTTTAACATTGCCGGACATTCCAAAAAATTTTACTTTCCAAAGAGCTTCTCTAGAATTTTGGTATTTAAATGGTTATTATAACCACAATAAATTATTACAAAAACTGTCAATAAATGGTTAGAACTTCTACCATAATGGAGAGGATTGTTCAAGGCCTTTTTTGGCTTGGTCATATGAAAGAAAAGGATTTTTTAACACTGGCTGTCTCCCATTGATGTATTGTGACACAAAAAAGAAGAAAGACATTTACCATCGTTCAGTCATTAGCTATTCTATAATATTTTATAATCTTTCTTTCAACAAACCGGCCGCATCCCACCGAAGCAAGGTGGCCCAAAAAGAAAAATGACAGCTTCTCTTTTTCAGCTTTAGTAATGTATACAGGAGAAGGGGTTACTGCCACCTTTCTCCCGGCATTTTAGTCGCCTCTTACGATATGCATGACTTATGGAGGAAGAATTCTGTTCCACTTCCCCATGGAAATATTTTATAATATAATATTTTATTCCTACAAGTACATGTATAAGGTATACAGACCAGAGCTGACATCAGTGACACACTACTAGTATATAGAAAGCACCGTGCTATACCTGGAGTTTGTCTGGAGAGAGTTCCGGGGGTCAGCACCCCCGCGGCCCGGTCTGTGACCAGGCCTCATGGTGGATCAGGGCCTGATCAACCAGGCTGTTACTGTTGGCCGCAAGCAACCCGACGTATGAACCACAGCCTGGCTGGTCAGATACTGACTTTAGGTGCCTGTCCAGTGCCTGCTTGAAGACAGTCGGAGGTCTATTGGTAGCCCCTCTTATGTATGCTGGGAGGCAGTTGAACAGTCTTGGGCCCCTGACACTTATTGTGTTGTCTCTTATGCAGAGCATTTCCTGCAAATTAGGTCAATTTTGTCCCCAGGGTGTGATCCACACCAGTCCACTAACACCCAGGTACCTGTTTTACTGCTAGGTGAACATGGACAGTAGGTGTCTTAAGGAAACACATCCAATGTTTCCACCTGTACCGGGGATCGAACCACAAATGTGTTGACATCACAGTTTGGATGATGCTCCGAACTGTCACATCAGTGAATGATCAGTGTCTCTGAGACCATAATTATGTCAGTAGCAGCTTGTCAGTGGTCCAGGACCAGACCAAAATGTCTCTTAGTTTTCATATCAACCATGAGGGTTTAGCTGTGAATTTCAGATGGCATTCAGCATTTTGGTCGAAGAAAGACTGAAATCACTTTTTTGTGTCCGGAAAATTGTCAAAATTATTTTATAGTAGGTTAGAGGTCATAAAATTTTTTTTTAATGCAAAGTAGTCATTTATTATTAAGTATTGATGAACATATCAGTATAATTATATTTAATCTAATCAAGATAATTGTATCTAGATAATTACCTGTAATCTTATCAGGATAATTGTATCAAGATAATTAGCTGTAATTTGTGCAAACATTGTTAGACTTGTTTTTCCCTGTGTTTTCAGTTCTACCCTCATGGGTCCTTAGGTCTCCTGCAGTGCTCCTTTTCTTGTCCTTAGACTGACCCCACTACTACTATTACTACCATTA